GATTTAGACAAGAAAACTACAACGCGCGCTTGCGCGAAATGTTGACGCCTCGTGCCCACCAGCGTTGAACCATCTGGTACAAGCAATAGCAAACAAACTGGTACTCCCACGGAAGATGTCCAACTCTCCAGAAACTACGAACAATGAGGGGCTGTTATTTTAATAAGTTCGAAATAATACCTTTTAAGGCCAAGGGCCTTCGTCATTAAACAAAAGAAAGGTTCGACCTCGCTCGAACAACGATGGGCTGTTATTTCGATAAGTTTGAAATAATACCTTTTAAGGCCAAGGGTCTTCGCCAAACAAAATAAAGGTTCGACCTCGCTCGAACAACAACGGACTGTTATTTTGATAAGTTCGAAATAACACCCTTCAAGGCCAAGGGCCTTCACCGTGAAACAAAAGAAAGGTTCGACCTTGCTCGAACAACGACAGGTTGTTATTTCGATAAGTTCGAAATAACACACTTTAAGGTCGTTCAACCTCGCTCGAACGACGACAGGTTGTTATTTCGATAGGTTCGAAATAACACCCTTTAAGGCCAAGGGCCTTCGTCACAAAAGAGAGATCTTAGCCACGATCGAACGGCCACCACCTGACAGGCCGACATTTCGATAAATTCAAAACGGCATCACTAAGGGTCGACAATCACCGAAAGAAAATAAAAATCGGGACTCATCAGTCGAGCCCCTATCTTGCACCGAAGCCATGAACACTTAGAATAAAAAGTGGAGTACAAGGCAAATAGCGAAGAAGAAAACTTTTATTTATGCAATGTCACAACGCGGGCTATCACCACTTACATACGGCCCAGGCCAACCAATAAAAAAAAGGGGGAATGAACAGACGACAATCAACGAACAAAATAAAAAATAAAAACAAAGGACAACATTCTTCATTCGGCGTCATCACCACCGTCATCATCACCACTATCATCACCGTCTCCACGAGGTTCACCATTATCATCATCCGCGCCCCCATTGCCTTCGGGCATCGCCACGTCGTATCCACAGTTGATGCGAGCCTCACAAGCCTTTCTCTTGAGCTTCTTCGTAAGCAGCCTCGTCCATAATACACGTTTCCCACAAACTCTTATATATGTCCCGCTGGGCTTCATCATAAACCCATAGCTCATGCGTCTGTCAAGGAACGACAGCAGAGGACGACTCAACCTGGTCCTGTAGTCGTGCATTTTCTGCCTCCAAGGCCAATACCTGATCTCCCAAAATCGACGCCTCCTGATCAATCATTCCAATGTGCTCATCGAGCCTCGCCTCCCTAAAGGTAGTTGTCACTCTCTCCGACTCCTATTCAGATTGGAGTACGCGGATGGTGTCCTCCAAAGCCGCTACCCTCGCCAAAGCCTCAGACCAAGCTCTCTCGATGTTCTCCAAACCGGCGACTTTGCTCTCCATCATGGTCAACTTTCTCATCCACTCTGTGCTCATCGCCTCAAACCTAACCAAGTTCTGGTCCATCTCTGACTGAATTGACCTCAGCTTGCCCTGCAAATGCTCACACTCCGCCGCGATCCCCTTACCCAACTCGAGCTCCTCGTCCTTAATGCGAAGTTGCTCCTCGAGTTCGCTCTTACTATAGATCGTCTGCATCAATTCCTGATCCCTTTTTTCCAACTCCTCACCAAGAGTCCGATTACGGGGATCCATCCCCAGCCGCTCATGCATCTCATGACATCTGTCATGGTAGCAACGGTATTTCTCCATCATCTTCAAGAAAATCCTTGCCCAGACTTTGGCCTTGCAAATGCTTTTACTTCCACCATGTATGTCTAGAAATCATAAAGACGAGGTTAAACTAATGCTTTCGAATAGGGGAAATCTTAAAGCAAAAACAAAATGCAATGTACCCTCAAGCCCATGACGGCCACCTCATCCCTCAACTCAGCATCAAGGACATCCCGAATGGACTTATTCTCAGCTTCTGAGCACAACAGGCTGAACTGCGGCACTAAATCCTCCCCTTCCTGCCAAGAGGTTAACACTGGAAAGGATCTGAAGAATACGGACCGAACCCCCCACATTAACCACCGAGTGAGTAAGGCCCTCCTTGAACATCCTGACATCGTCGGGATCCAGGTATGACTCAGATTCATACTCGTCAACCACCACGCCCTTTCCCATTTCTGCTGCCGAATGAGGAGCACGACCTGCTGTAGAAGACGAGGGCACGTTCGAAGTTACAACAGCGGTGCCAGGGGTCTGATTCTCTACAACTACAAGGTGTTGATCTTTAGTAACAGCAGGGACTTCCAGTTGATTCAAGACGGCGGTTAGAGTTTCTGATCGCTGATCACGGGCGCCAACAACTTCAACAGTTTGCTCCGCCTCTACGAGAGGAGCCGCAATAACACCTTCTCCAGAGCCCGTCAGGGGAGAGTCATCCAGATGAATCACTGTTGGGGGTGCCATGTCAAACTCTACTTTTCGTCTCTTCGACGGCCCCCTCTTCCTCTCTAGTTGATGGTGACTCGTTCGTAGAACGGACAACATTGGACGGGACCTCGTCCTGAGACGCAGCCCTCGCTGGAGTAACCAAGGCCACAGATTCAACCGAAGCGGCCCTCGATGAAGGTCGTATAGTGGGTACGCCGATAGGACGAGCAGATGCGGCCGGCTAACAATGAGCTAATTGAGGGGCCCTTGCTCTCCTCACCCTCTCTAGCAATGACGAACGATGCATAAGAAGCTAAACAACAAAATAAAATAAAAAAGAAAGGATAGCATATGAAGGCATTATCTCACCCGTAAGAGGCCTGCGTCCAAACCTCTCGTGAAAAATCGACCATGTGCGAACTCCCACTATATGGGGAAGAATGGCCTCCACCCATTCACGAATCCCTTCAATAGGCGGAAAGGGCAATCTCTTAGCTACAAAAAAAATGAGACGGTTTAGCATCCATAGAAAACGGTCAAAATATTTCATTAATTAAAGACGCAAACTTACGAGCGAAGTTCCATCTTTCGGGGAATCCCGTTGGGTCTGCCACAATGTGCTCGGTCCGCACATAAAAGTAATTATCATAGAAAAGACGGTTGGTTCGGTCATCCATCTTTATCACTAGACTCCTCGACCCCCGAGTACGCGCGTGAATCATCGTACCGCGAATAAGTTGAGGAGCAAAAATGTTGAGCATATGGCCCAAAGTGACCTCACGACCGGCAAGCTCCACATACTTGAGCAGCATAAGAAACAACTTGTACAAATAAGGTGAAAGCTGAGCGGGGCACACTTCGTAGTAACGACAAAAATCTACCACCAACATGGGAAGAGGAAGCGTGTACCCTATAATAAAGGGGTAGGCGTAGAACACGCAGTACCCGGGATGGTCAAAGTGAACTCTGTCGTCCCCCTCCGCCAAACGTATCTTGATGTAATTGGGGATCCCCCACCATTTTCTCAATTATACAACACCCCTTTCTCTCATAATGGAAGCGACGGGTTACGGCTCCGCACCACCGCCGAAACTAAAGTCCAGTCGCATCCCTCCCGGGGCGAGGCAGAATCTCATCCACCGAGGTAACCTTCTCATCCTCCACCGCATCTGCCTCTCCGGTGATTTGTACATAGCTCTCCGGTACCGGATCAGCGGTAGGAAGATTATCGTGATAAAAATCATCGTCCATTTTTGGCAAGTTTAGGAAGAAGAGACGAAAGGTTTTTAGAGAAAAAGAAGGTAAGCAGAAATTCTAGGTATCAGAAAAAGTAATATTTGAAGAACTCTCTCATACAAATGATGAAGTGAATCAATTAAATGACAAGTTCCCCTATTTATAAGGGACATAAATCCCCCGAGCACGAAATTCAAGAGTCTCCATTTGAATCTGATAGGGCACGAAATGTTTCAGTTTCCCAGAAACGTGTGTCATAATGGTGGCAACCACGAATCAATGTTTCAGTGCCAACCGCCGTTTCGATTCTGAAACCATCGCAACGGTCCATGAGTATCGAAAAAACACCTCCACTCTGCCAAAAAATCCACAGAATGCGACTAAGGAATGGAAAGTTGGGGGTCAGACTTCTCTTGACTACGCTACAAATATGATCCATCTATCGAGCCCGACAAAGGGCGACCCCGACAGACGGAGGGACCAACTGTATGGGTCAAAATCTAACCACCCGACCAGGTTGCCCACTACCCTTTTTTTTAGCAATCGGGTAGTGAAAGTCAACAGGGTCCACTCCATTTCTCCTACGAGATATCCTTCAAATCGAGAAGAGCAACGCCTAAAGTTACGGCCAGAATGCACCATCAACCAGAACGCATCAAGTCATGCTGAAGGCAAAGGGACTTCGACTATATGTAGCCAATGAAGGCTTTCAATAAATGGGGCTCTCTCTATTCCCTGAGAATGAACATCAAAAGAAAAGCTCCATTCTTATATCCTAAGAGGAAAAACAATTGTGATTCTCTTTTCTCATCGATTAATGTTGAATCTTAATAAGATTGTTGATATTTCTTTCATCACCTATGCAATCATCATAATTAAATCTTTCAATCTGGAATTAACTAAATTTGATTAAGATTTACTCATTCATCTTTAATTGTTTTGTCCAAAAAGGTTTTAACATATTTTGGGTCTAACAAGCAGCAAAGCTATATATCAAAAATGCGGTGTCACATTTGACCAAGAATATTATTGATCTATACAACTTTTCCAAGACTTCAAGTTTATTTAGATGTTTCTATATCAAACGGAGGAGTACTTTCCAATCGTATACTCCCTCCCTCCGTTACCATTTAGATGATGTAAGTTAACTTGTCACAAAATTTAAGGAAAACAAATAACTTTCAAAATATGTAATGCTACAACCTTAAGGGGAAACATAGTAAAATTAAACCATGATATTTATGTGACGATAAAAACTTCTCACTAAAGATAAAATTGGTAGAATGAAAAGTTTAAAGTTACAGTTTCTAAACGTAGAAATGTATCTTTTTTTTTTTGAATAAACTAATAAAAAAAGTGGGTCATCTAAATTAAAACAAGGGGAGTACTATCTTCGTTCCTATCACTATTATGTACTCTCCTTGCAATTTATGTGAAAAAATCCGGCCAACATAAACCTTTTTGGAGTACGAAGATCAAATTAATTAACTACACGGTAACAATCTAATTAATTACTGAGTATTTCAAATGCTATTGCTATTTCTTTTTAACTATAACATATTGTATGATATCTGGCCAGAACATCCCACGCATAGGATCATCCATGACAGAATGATCATGGAAGAATGAATTTTTGAGGAACTTGTCCGCTTCCTCCAACACAAGCTCAGGTTCCTCCACCTCTGATACAGCTTCTCTCCTTGATTTCTTCACTCGAACATTAGGCGACCGTCCCAGCTGCTGCATTATTGTGTGTACCCCAAAACATACTTTGTAGCATTATCAACCCTAGTCCCACGTCACTAGAAAATACTCTAACTTTACTGCCCTGTATATACATGTAGAAGATCGAGCTTAAGTTCTATATACTGTTGGTATAAAAAAGTTACACAACAATCCAAGTCATTATACAATTATATCTCTTCTCTATAATAAGCATTAATTAAAAATGGTAACTGACCTGCTATTACAAATTACGCTACACAAATGGTGTAAAAAGAACCTCCATGCATCAAGTTAGCGTATATAACTTAAATCACAAGTTAAAACATCTAATTATATCTTTATTACTTCTTAATAAAGTTCTTAAAGATTCTTTACAAAGTGATAGTTTCTAAAAGTTCATTTTGGCCTAGCATCTGGATGGTTGGGAACATTAGCAGTATGGGCATAGGACTTCATTTTAGGAGCAGTAGATGTTGCAAAAGTAGCCTTTCCTCTTAGGTGAGTGGCCATAGATCTCCACAAATTCTGCAACGTTGAAATAAGACGGTCAAGCCATGTCATGTACTTCAAAAACACACACTAGATAAAAACAGGAAGCAATATACAGTTTAGTAGCAATACTTTCTGAACTTCTGTATGCCATGATGATTGAAAGTCTGGAGATTAATTGATACGAATATATATTTTTAGAGGCTTAAGGGAAAGGGAAAATTAAGTCGGTTTTAACTTGCTGTTATTGTGTCCAATATTTGCTGGAGTGTTTGGTAATGATAGGCAACTTTATAATTGAAACGAACCTATAAGGAGACACGATTGCATGAGAATGCAGCTGTGGCAACACATGTCAGAAGAGAAAAATGGCCAATTTTGCAAGAGCGGTGACTCATGCACCGAAAAGGGAAATTGAACGTATACTTGACGACCAAAATTCAAAGCCACTTGCTATGGCCATTCCTTTAAAATTCGGCAGGAAGGAATGGGTAAATAGGCACTTTTTACATCATATCCTAGAAATGATCACCTATATATCCCGTAGCTTTATGTAGAGGCGGAGACAGAATTTGAAATTTGTAAATTTTAAATTTATCACCGAATTCATAACTCGCTTTTGTTATTAGGTTCACAATTATATATATATACAAGATCGATCATCTAAATAAAAGTTACTGAGTTAGTCCGAACCTACATTTACTTCTCTAGCTCCGCCGGCTGTTACGCAGCTATCAGTCTTGAAATATAAGGCGAAGTGAGTGGAATTCTAATAGGAAAGACGCTATTAGAATAAGAAAGACTCTATTAGAATATATCCCAATGGATACTCGCTATGGCCTATGGGGTTCCGTTAGATTCTCCCCAACAATTTGATAATATACAAGTCAAATATTTCTATAACAGTTATGTATGTTTCAAAAAAATTTAATTGTTATAGTGAAATGTTTGTGTTGTTATTGAAAACATATATAAATTTATAACACGAGAAATTGATTTCAAAGAAAATTTGACCATTATAATGAAATGTTGTTAAAGAATAACTTTTATAGAAAGGTATAATGTTTGGGTAAACGAAGTGGACGGTGCAAACTGCAAAGTGATTGTAATCCGTAAAGAGAAAGGCATATCGATATCTTCCATTATACAGTATTCTGCTTTTTGAGTGTAGCTACTTGCTATATATAATTGTTCGCACCTCCAACATTTTTCACGTTATTTTATCCTTGCATGCCTGTGATATGATGATGAGGATATACATTATGATCAATATGGAAGGATCATTATAGTCCCCGAGGATGATGGGTAAGAGTTATTTGTTATTTTTACGTTTATTGTTTTGTACAGTCTGTACTAAGGTATTAATGTAGTTTTTTTGTTAATTACAAGTTCATCCCGAGTAATATTACTACGAGGATAATCACCAAAGCCACCAGAAAGCTTAATGATGGCCCTTATGCGACTTGGAATGAATTCCCATTCTCGCTGAAGGAGCAAATTTTCAATCAATTTAAGGTATAAATGTTCTTTTAAGCAATATAATTATTTATATTTATGATATTTCCATACAATATATAACTTTTGAAATACAGAGCAAGTGTGTATGGGAACATCGATATAGCGCAAAAGTAGCTACAAATTTTCATCACAAAGCTCGCAAGCGGTTGTCACATAGTTTCTCCAAAGCTAGAAAGTTGAACCAGAAGCCTGACTGGTTGCTTCAAAATTTATGGGAGGATTTGCAAAGGCAATTGCTTACCGCAAAATTCTTAGAGAAGAGCGAAAAAGGAAAGAAAGCTCGTGCATCTGAGAAGGGAGACTCCTTGCACATTGGAGGTGCAATCAGCTTGGGGACAATAAAAAGAAGATTGATACGTAATTGCTTAATTTATTTTAATTTTCAAACTATATCTATTCTGTTTATTAAAAAAAAACAGAATATACTGGGTCGTTGTTGTTGTTATCTATTCTGTTTATTAACTAAAATTTATAAGTTTTCAGGAAAAGAAGTTGGGGCGCCCAATAAACAAAGATGAGCTATTCAAGGAGACTCATATTGTAAAGAAGAAGAAGAAAGAGACGGATCAAGAAAGGTGGGTCGAGCCTCGACTGTACATGTAAGTTTTCACTTTTCATTGAGTATTTTGATTTACTTTTATATAAATTTTGAAATACTAATTCAATGTAATTTTTCTTATAGGGTCGCTTCACAGCTGACGTGGAGGAATTCATATGCAGTCAGCCACCTAATGAGTCGGGCGAGTCAATCCAACCTTCGAACGAGGATGCTGAAAGAATATGGATGGAGGTTGCTGGCGGTCCAAAATGGGGGAAGGTATACGGGTTTCCTACTAAGAAATTCCATCGCTATAAGTGTGGAATGCAAGACATAGGGACTTCCTCGAAAGGCGAGCAACTTGGTGGGGAGAGCCTCTTCGCTATGCGGGAGACTGTGAGAAAGCTCACATCCGAGCTAGAAGCGGCCAAGGAAAGAGAAAATCTTAGAGATGCTCAGTACATTGGCATGCAAGCTCAGTACCATGGCATGCAAGCTCGACTCAAAACTCTCCTAGATTCTGGAGCTTTTCCGATTCCCCGGCCTCGTGAGTCATCGCCAGAGGCTCGACTTGAACGTGAACGTTCCTTTCGTCCTCCCTGTGCTCGTTCCTCCCATCCTCCCCATGATCGTTCTTCCCGTCCTCGACAAGTAGACCCTTCTCTATGCCGTCTTGTTGATGAAAATTCATCAGACGGTGATGATAATGATGTTGTACAAAACACTCCTTGACTTTTATATACTTTGAACTAGATAAATAGAACCGGTTTTGAACTAGTTGTAATAAACATTAACTTAGTTTTGTTAGTTTAATTTGTTAGTTCTATCTTTAATTCGTTGGTTTTAATGTGTTTTTGAATTGTGTTGTTGTTGTTGTTGTTGTGTTGTTGTTGTTGTTGTTGTTGTTGTTGTTGATGTTGTGTTGTTGTTGTTGTTGTTGTTGTTGTGTTGTTGTGTTGTTGTTGTTGTGTTGTTGTTATTGTTGTTGGGTTGTTGTGGAGATTTTGGTACTGAAGTTGTAGTTTATGAATTGAATTATATTGTTATTTAGGGATTTTGGTATGCTGGCAGGTGGTGTGGCTGCCAAAATAGGTTTTTTATGCCAAAATTATTACCCAGAAAAGCGACCAAAGTTGGTCGCTTACCTATTAAAAAAACTTTTCTAGCAATTAGCGACCAAGGTTGGTCGCTAATGAACCTAGATTTTAATATAAGCGACCAAAGTTGGTCTCTACCCTATTAAAAAAATCCTGGAAATTAGCGACCAAGGTTGATCGCTTATATATAAAAAAAATTAAAAATTAAAAATAAGCGACCAAAGTTGATCGCTTATGAACCTAGATTGTTAAATATATATATTTTAAAATAATACTCCCTTCGTTTCAATTTATGTGAACCTATTTCCTTTTTAGGCCGTGCCAAAAAGAATGACTTTTTTCCTTATTTGGAAACAATTTACCTTTACACAAAGATTTATAGTCACACATAATATATGTGCCTCATTTTAGACCACAAAATCAAAAGTCTTCTCGCTTTTTTTAAACTCCGTGCCCAGCCAAATGGGTTCACATAAATTGAAACGTCTTTTAATTTATGGACCAACGTTGATCGCTAATTTTTGAATTATAATAATTAAAAAAATATCGTAATTTAAATATACATACCAACTTTGGTCGCTAAAGTAAAAGGACCACCAATATAGCGATCAAGCCTGTTTGGACGCATTTTCGTCGGTATATTGAGATAAGCGACCAACGTTGGTCGCTATATGTGGTCGATTTTTACCGAATTTCTAGTAGTGACAAAAGCTACTAAGTTAGTCCGAACTTACATTTACTTCTCTAGCTCCGCCAGCTGTTATGTTACGTAGCTATCAGTCTTGAATATAAGGTGAAGTGTAGGGGTGGGCATCGGTCGGTTCTGTTCGGTTATGAATATTATTGGTTTAGCATATCGGTTATCGGTTTATAAATTTAATAAACCGATAACCGAACCGATAAGATATCGGTTATTGAGTATCGGTTAATTGGTTATCGATCATTATCAGTTCGGTTATTGGTTTACCCGATAAGATAACTCAATCTAGAGTTAAACAAAAAAGAGAAGACAATTCACTGGAGTTAAGCAAAAGAGAGAAGAATTCACATATACTATATTACCCATTTCTGCATTATGTCTAGTGGCCACAACTGGAATAGTACTAATACTTCAACAACCATGTTGCCCAAATACATTAATAATAATATAAAGTAGTAGCAATTTCACCTTAAAATTAACTAGTCCAAACATATAGTACTAACAATTTAAATTCAAGTTAACAAAACAACAACTACTCAATCCTTATAGGCTTCACCAAAAAATCAGTGGATAAATACTTATCAAACTGCAGCAATTCCCATAAAATATTCCAAGGCATTAGCTGCGTCCTCCGATATGATAACAACAATAGTTGATTTAGAATTTTTATTTCACACAATACCTGCACTTCCACAAGCGTTGAAGCCCTCAAACAGTCTAATATAATATAGATATTGTTTGTCAAATGTCTAACCTAAAAAAAAGAAACCATAGAGCAATCCCTATATGAAGATGAATTTTGTTATAGAAATTAAAAGCCTAATGTATAAGACTAAAGGCTTACGCTAGGAGTAACTAGTAAGGTCTATGAAGAATGAAGATGAAGCAACTGAAGAGTGCGACTGGGAAAGAATAGGAGAGAATGAACCGAAGCCCTAGCTATATATATACTTAAGGGTAAAGTCATAATTTTATTAATTCTTATTGGATTATCGGTTAACCCATTAATAAAAGGAATTTTTACATTCATATGTCATATAGTAAACTATATTACTCTACTTTTAATATAATTACCTTCTATATACCTAATTACCATTTATATATTATTTTAGGATTTTAATGGTATTATTTAGTCTCCTAATTTTACTCAACCATATATTCCCACTCCCCCAAGTTTCTCTATCCAAATCCCCACGATTTCCTCTTCTAAAACCAGCGAAAACTTGTAACCCCTCCACCATTGACAACCATTAAAAAGCTTTGAAACTTTGAATTCGAATTTGGGTTTTCAAAAGACATTGTTTGTTTGGATTGGATGTTGTTGCAAAGAATTGATAATTCTCTCTACGTCTCTCTCTATCTCTCAATCCCAAATTTCAGTAATATAAGAGGAAAGGAAAAGAGAGCAACAATTCCACCATTGATAGCCATTAAAAAGCTTTGAATTCAAATTTGAGTTTTCAAAAATCATTATTTGTTTGGATTGGGTGTTGTTGTAAATAATTGGGGATTATGGTTTGGAGTTTATATCTCAATTTTGAGGGGTTTTGGTGAAGATTAAACTTGGTTTTGGCTAAATTTCAAATTGAAACTCGAAGAAGAAGACATGACATACATTATATTGCAGAAATTGTAGAAAACTTGTAGACTGTTGTTTATTTATTTTTGAGCTTTGTGCTTTTGTGTTAAAAGTTTTGATGGGAGCTTGTTCTTCCACTTCGTCTGTTTTGGAGCTAACTTGTGCAGAGGAGAAGATGTTTTTTAAGTTATATATATATTGCTATACCTTTAAATTCAAGAAAGTATGGTTATATTGTATTTAAAGAGGCGTGAATTTGTAGAATAGGTTGAACGTGAGAAATGAGTCAAATAAGACTTACAATGGCTTTTTTTCTACATTTATTCTACAATAAAACTACATATCATTTGAAAAATTAATATGAAAATACAGAATTTCGATGTTTCTACAAATTTTTTACAAAATTTCTATAAACTGTTCATAACATAATTTATCTTTATTTTCATGCATGTTCGTGTGGAACACTAAAGTTACTTGATATGCCAACATCTCCCGTTATAGAGGAATACAATTTATCTACAATTTTCTACAACTTTCACACATTATTTCCACCCAGTTAAATACAACTATAATAACATAAAACTTACATACAAATTTTATTCAATATGTCTTTTGTATATTTTGTATCTGATTTATACATAGTAAAAACAATTTTCATACAACTAATTATATATTATACAACTTATCTACAAATTATCTACAATTTTCGTACATTATTTCTACTAAGTTATATACAACTACAATATAATATCACTTAAATATAATTTTTATACAATGTTGTTCAACTTTCATACAATAGGTAAATGAATAAAAAAAAACAACAGTCTACAATTTCTGCAATATAATGTATGTCATGTCTTCTTCTTCTTCTTCTTCTTCTTCTTCTTCTTCTTCTTCTTCTTCNTTCGAGTTTCAGTCTGAAATTCAGCCAAAACCAAGTCTAATCTTCACCAAAACCCCTCAAAATTGAGATATAAACTCCAAACCATATTCTCAATTATTTTCAACAACACCTAATCCAAACAAATAATGATTTTTGAAAACCCAAATTTGAATTCAAAGCTTCAAAATTTTTAATGGTTGTCAATGGTGGAATTGCTGCTCTTTTTTCCTTTGCTTTGTATTACTGAAATTTGGGATTGAGAAATAGATAGATACGTAGAGAGAATTCTCAATTTTTTGCAACAACATCCAATCCAAACAAACAAATGTCTTTTGAAAACCCAAATTCGAATTCAAAGCTTCAAGCTTTTTAATGGTTGTCAATGGTGGAGGGGTTACAAATTTTTCCTGGTTTTAGAAGAGGAAATTGTGGGTGATTGAAGAGAAAATCGTGGGGTGTGGTTTGATACGTGAGTGAGGTGGTTGTAAAATATCTGGATGAATATTTAATTCCCCAATATTAGCGCCCCTAAATAAGAAAGCCTACAACTACAATGATTCCTTATTTAATGAATTGTCTATATTTTGTAGAAATACTATTAGCATAGCGGGTAATATGCAAACTATAAACATATTTGGTAATATAGTTTCCTATATGGTATAAGAACAAAAATCTCCCTTAATAAAATTGGCAAACTGAGGCTCGAACCGATAACCCAATAGTGAAAAAAATCTAAACTGTTACCGAATCATTAACCCAATAATCTTATACCGATAACCTAATAAACAATTAACGGTTCGAGTTATCGGTTTTACCCGATATATACCCAGCCCTAACGAAGTGAGTGGAATTCTAATAGGAAAGACGCTATTAGAATATCTCAATGGATACTCGCTATGGCCTATGGGGTTCCATTAGATTCTCCCCAGCAATTTGATAATGTACAAGTCAAATATTTCTACAACAATTACGTATGTTCTGAAGTTTTTTTAATGTTATAGTAAAATGCTTGTGTTATTATAGAAAATATATATAACAATATAACATAAGAGATTGATTTAAAAAAAACTGACCGTTACAATGAAGTATTATTATAAAGAATAACTTTTAGGGAGGTAGTGTTTGGGTAAACGAAGTGGACGGTGCAAACTGCAAAGTGATTGTAATCCATAAAGAGAAAGGCATATCTATATCTTCCAATATACAGTATTCTGCTTTTTGAGGGTTGCTACTTGCTATATAATTGTTCGCACCTCCAACATTTTTAACGTTATTTTATCCTTTGAATTGACCTTTATTAGGCACACTCCACTTCTCCACCTGGTCAGCTAACTTTAGCTCATCTCTATTCTCCACCAATCGGTATTTTTATCCTTTTATTTTAATCTTTTACTTTTTCTCCACACATGGAGAGTGAATAGGTCTCCTTGTCTTTAATAACAATTTGAGTTGAAAGAAACGAATATAAATTTCTTTGTGGTGGATAACTAAGTAGGACGACCTAATATTATAAACAGAATAATGATAAGAGGGAGGACCCTCCAGATTTGTTGTTTCTTTATTATGGTGAGAAAGTCTTGGCTTCCACTGTCAATATATCTTGGACTCTGAGACCCAATATATATATGTATCTCAGCTCCCATCAGTTGCTCTTCCAAGGCAAAGAAACACAAAAAGATGTGGAGAAAGAAGAGAAAGAAGGATTTCACAAAAACCAATGATGATAGTGAAGGTGACTTCAAACCTTTCTGTGTAGACTATTAGCCTTCACAGCATCTGATGTGAAGAGAACTCACAGGCAAGTCATAAAGGCAAAGGGAAGGTGATGCCTTTCTTCCAGGTTTTTTCTTTTATTGTTGGATTTGAAGTTTCATTGTATATGTAATGTATGTTAATTTTGGGTTAAAATACTCTTTAAATAGTGTTTTCATGTTGCCTTACCGTGTTATTATAGTATAAACTAGTGGCGCTTACAAATATTCCTGGAATTGTGAACAACTGTCCAGGTTAAAACCAGCAACTTAACAAAGTTGACTACTTCAATAACACAAGAATTCATTAATCTCCTGAACATACTTCTTCATTCAGTTATACTCGATGCTATAAAGTTGCGGTTCGTTTATAAGTACACATATAACATCCCAAAAAGGTTTAAACATAGCTAGAAACATTCTGAGGCAATTGAGTAAGTCAAGCTCCTGACAGATTCAAGCAATTTTCATGGCACATTGCACCAGTCAAAAGTACCATACAAACGTCGTGTCTATATTGCAAGAGAGACGCAAAGTATTTTATTCAACTTAATTTTATCCGAAGTATCAGCCATGCGCTTCAAATCCAAAAACAGGACATATTTCTAGCATTAAACATGAATACCAAAAACATAAATGCACAAACATGAAGTATCTTCTGAAAAATGTTAGAATCAATATCAGGAAGATGATTAAGTACTTCAAAATGTGGTAAGAGTAATATGATAGCCGAAGTATTCATTAAAGTCAGAACTCAAAACAAAAAAGAACTACTGAGCAAAGGAAAAGTTCTCTTTAACCAACTCATTCTTCAAAAACCTAGTTTATAGTATGTCATAGCTTTAACCAGAACCTCTAGCAAACATCAACCCACGATCATCATAGCCTTCTCTTTAACCCTAAAAGAGCATCCCTCAGTAAGTTTTGCGCGTCCACCAGTTGGCTGGCAGAGCACTTGCTGGCAGTTGGCGCATGTAACCACGGTTTGTGAGTGGCTGAAAATTGTTGTTCTGTAAAAGTTGGATCGATTATTAGTACCTTACTACTACATGGAAACTTATAACACGATGAATTTAACCGCTAATTTTCAGTAACCTACATTTGGAAGCAGCCTGGACATTTAACATCCTGCACGGTTGATCAAAAGTTCACAAGCAAGCACAAAGACAAAAGGCATGAATCATATATATAGATCACAACGAAATCCAAAATATCAGTGATTAATGGTAGATACCAGAAAAGTAGAATCAGGTGATGGGACCAAACGCTTAAGCTTGTGCTTTTGCTTCTCAAGCTCAGCAGGAGGGTGAAGCAAGTCAATGTCATTTGAAATCTTTGGAATACCCTAAATAAGGCCACAGGAAAAGAACATGAAACCACAATTGCCAAGTAACTCATGTCAAAGTCAAAAAGAAGGAGATTCAAGTGGTCACTCACCATTTTGTCTTGGAGCTTTTGTCACAGATGTTGCAAGTTGCTGTCAATCAATAGAAACAAAGAAACGTGAGATATTATCTCTTTACACATTCACAAAAGCACTTGCAATAGGAAACAAAAGGAGGGCGTCGGAATCAACAAATCATGTCTTCAAGAAACAAAACAGCATGAAAGACATAACTCATCAATTAATAAGTGTTCTCAAATCCTGAACTACTTGGAGTTAGCTATATGAATCTTTTTGAACTGTCCCCCTATGTTCTATCCCGTTCCATGATGAGATGGAACCCCTTTCTAGAGGTGAATCCAAGATTTAAGGTCTATGCTCTGTGTTGAAAGTACTGGATCAGTTGAACCCGGTACTCACGCTGCATGCACCCCTGCCCGTTGCCCACTTGACACCCCTAATGAAATTGTTAATTCTCCACATTTTATCAATTGATATAACCCTTTTGGTATGAATAGGTCATTGGGCTAGGCTTGCACACTTGACTGCTAATGTAGGACATGTCTATGTGAATATGTCCCAACAAATTCAATGCTCATAGGAATACAGACTTGAACTGGTTACATGAAGATTATACGCAGAGTTGCATTGCAAAACTGATAGGAATAAAACTTGAAGGCTAGTTTGGTATTACTTGTCCTTGAAATTACTTACACAGTTTCACTATTCACTATCGTCGTCCCCAGACCCCACCTGGAATTATACTGGGTATGTTGTTGTTGTTTCACTATCTTAGGGATATAACCATTATAATTATTGCGAGTTAAATATGATGAATTTCCTTTGACGGCTCAAGAGATGAGAGACCTTTATTATGCAAATCACACCAAATAGCCTCCTTACATGGAAAATTCTCGACATTAATTTAGTTCATGACCAAAGTTTCAGTACTCTTTTTCTCTCTCAAACAATTTATCACAAAAACTATGGCCCCTATACATATATTATTCTTAAACACTTAAACGAATAACACCTTAGGAATCAACTTCAATTTATTCCTATTTTATTAATAATCCCGCATGCAAACTATCAGATAGAGACACTCAAAGAGACAAAGAGAAAAAAGTCATACTGCGATGCATATGAAGTGAAAAAGTCACAAACAAACACCGATAAAATAAAATTAAAAAAATTAATTTTTATCCTCGATAAGGACAATACGAATACAAACAACAATTGAAAATAAAAAAAATAGCATTTCATAGTTATCAGATTATCGAACAGGAATCAAAACGAAAAACATAATTCACAGATGATCCGAACCCGGGAGTTACCTGTAATCCCCAACGCCGAAAGCCCTAGCTCTGTTCCTTCTTTGCCTCTTCAAAAGACTCAATTTATAGCTTACGGGGCCTCTAAGCTATTTGGGTAACAATCCCATAATTTTTCGGCCCAACAATAATAAATATTGTAAGTAATTTCTTTTTTGAATAATACAATAAAAATATAGTAAGTAAATCTTCTCAACATATATATTTATTTACGAGTAAATAAGTAAAAAGAATAAAGGGCAAGTTATACATTTGGCCCGTCAGCTCAATATCTAAAAATATCCACTAAATGTATAAAATATGAATATTGTATATTAATATAAAAAAATATATATTCTACCGATTATTATTTTCGAGAGATGGATATATATTATAGTTTTCCAATAAGAATAAAACGTAGTATTTGCTTCACAAAACTTAAGAGTAGCTTCATTTTCTTTTTTTCTTTTTTTTTTTTTAAGACAAGAAAAGGCTTCACTTGAATAAATTAATTTTAAGTTTCCTGGAGAAACTCTTTGGATATCTTTTTCTCTTCCAAAAATGAAAAAACTTTGAGCAATTATTCGCGATTTTAGAAAAATAAAAAACTTCATTTAAGGTGTTTGGTTGAAAAACATTTTATAACAAACACAATGTCCCAACAAAAGAAATTGCTTTGGTTGGCACGTGTTTTGAAGAGTTAGAATGTTAAATAGGATTATTTTAGGTATTAGGATCATACTAAAATGACGGTAAAATTTAAACAAACAAAAACTTTTTAGTTATTTTACACTTAAAGAACATGAGTCAAATTCAGTCCAAAAATATTATAATAAAGTCTAAGTATAATAATGGAGCTAAAGACTAGTCACTTCTCGGAAGACCTAATATCAACAAGGTAAAATTCCAAAAAAAATAAAATAATAATAATAATAATAATAATAATAAAGTAACATATTATTCCTGGTATGTGTTACTCCTATTTCTTTAGCTCTTTTAAGATTAACTGTTCTTGAATTTGTAACATAACATCTACATTGATAATACATATAATTAAATACAAAAAAGTCAATAAAATGGCAAAATAGTATGATTGTAATGATCTTTGTTTTCCAGCCCCCACTAAAGTTCAGTAACTTAAGGGTCAGTTTGGTCATAAAAAAGATTCTTTTATTCGAAACCAGTGTTTGGCCATAAAATTTTCGATTTTCATTTGGAAATGAGTTTCGAAATCCTTCGAAACTTTGAAAAACTCCAAAAAAATATTTTTCAAAATTTTCACTTTAGATCACTCACAAAAATCTAAAAACAGCCCAAAATTATATTCATGTCCAAACTCAACTCTAATTTACAAATATCATTTTCACTTGAAAAAAAATATTTACTTTTTTCCGAGATTTTACGATTCTTATATCCAAACGCCCACTAAATCATTCAAAAATGCAATTGCATACGAATTTAAACTTTATTTTTGTCAAATAGCTCCCTCTCAACTACTAAATGAAAAATTACATCATATCGTATGAACACTAAATGAAAGATTTTACGCTTCAACGAAGAAAATCATATCCAGTTCCTGGCTGCACAACTTTTAGTTGATAAATGAAAGGCACGTAGAAAACGAAAAGACTAGCGTAGAAGCAAATATCGATGGAAGAAAATTAGGGTTGACAAATGGGCGGGTTGAGCTACAATTGGGTATGTTAAAATGGGCTGAACCAATAAATGGGTTATTACCCGACCCTGCCCAAATATTATTTGGACTAAAATAGATTGAATCAATATGAGCTAAATAATAAGTTATAACCTAACTCGTCCAACTTGACCCATTATTTTTTCAATGCAATATCTTTTTGTTTTTTCTTATAGACCATCAATGTCATGAGAAATGTTTACTTTTTTGTATATGTTCTCTTTTATTTCAAATTTTTTTTTTGTAAGACACTATCAGCAACTCGTTGTGTGACTAAGATCACAACTAATTCGATTGCTTAGGAGCATGTTTAGATTGAATTAAAAGCTGGTCAAACCAACTTTTAAGCCATTTTTAGATGTTGGGAGTGTTTGGCAAAAAAAAAACAGTTTTAAAAAGTTAAAATTGGCTTAAAAAGCCAAAAGCCACAAATTGGCTGATCCTAACTTTTTTTTTTTTAGCTTAAAAGCCAACTATCTTTGACCAAGTATTTTACCCTCTTATCCCTAATAATATTTATCATTCCAAAAATTTCCTTCACAACAAAATCTCAATTTAACTCTATTCTTTCCCGTTCTCTATTCCTACGACTTCCTCCCTTGTATTTCTTCATATTGCTCTTTTTCTTTCTGTTTCTTCTCTGGTTGGTAACACTTGATTTAATTCACTTTGAGTTTTTACTTCATTTTTTTGTCCACCGCCACTCATCTAGATGAGATTATCTAAAGTATTTCCCAACTATTTTCTTTTCATTTCATACTATTTTTTTATATCAATAATCATGCAATTCATATGTTTCCCCGGTAAGATTGGAATTTCAAGAAATAAATAAAAAAATTACATGGTTGAAAGAAGTGAATAATAAGAGTTCAACAATTATACTTATAAAAATTATCTTAGGTGATCAGTTCAAATATTAATTATTTCGTATTTATATTAATAAGTTTAAAATAAAACATTATAGTAATAAGCTTCTTTATAGTGTTAACAACTTTAAGGATATTTCAGTCATTTTAATAAAACATTTTAACAGCTTTTTTTCAGCTCCAACACTTTTATCCAAACACATAACTGCTTATTTATAAAACCAGCTCCAACACTTAAAAAGTGCTTAAAAGCACTTTTACTTAAAAGCTACCTTTTTAAGCCAATCCAAACGAGCTCTAAATCTGGTAGTATTGAACTTGTTAATTATTGTAATAACAAAAAATAAATGAAAATGTTAGAGAATTATTTAATTTGCAAGGCAAATTCTTGTGAATAATACTAATTCAATCATCTATGGCGCAAACGTACGGTTAATTGATAGTTATTTAGTTTCAATCCCCAACAAAAAAATTTATTTTGATTTCATGTCGAACCAATGTTTTGTTTTCTAAAAAGGAACTAATATTTTTTTTTTCTAAAAATGAAATTTTTCAAAGGTAATAATTATATGAGATCTATTCTTTCACTTTTAAGATTAAATTAATTCCTATTTTATTTCAAATATTCAAAGAGTATGATTGATCCACAAATGTGATTTATAAAAAGAACAAATGTTTTGGCTATATAAGATAATTCTGTTTTATCATGAGATTATAAATTAAAATCTACATTTTTGGATAATGAATTACTCGTGTTTTTATTTGATTGAGCATCACGGGAGGTTCACATATGTCCAGCTTCAAGAGAGAATTTTGGGAAATCACATGTGTCATAGTTTGTGATGACATGATAGGTCATTACAGTTTTAAACCTTAATTCTGTGTTTCTTAATGGATTCCTAATCCAAACTCTTTGATATGTGTTTTTGAGTATTCCTTGATCATTTTGTCCAAGAAGAGGAGTTCCTCTAATTTTATGAATTTTTCTAGAAGACTCTTTTCTTGAATATTATTCAAAAAAAATTGGATTGCCCAGTATTCCACCAATTAGTAACCCAAGATTCCAGACATTTATTACCTGAGAAAGAAAACTATCAGGGCAAAAGTACTATAGATGCAAGATAGAAAAGAGGAGTGAATGCTTTCTTTTTTGCCATTTTTTCATATATGAATTGTTAAGGAACCTATTTTACACTCTATGTGATCGAATATTTCTTACACACATGAGTTTTATACAAGGTATCAGACTAATGAATTTATTTTCTTTGTGATTTTGTGGTTAGTCTTTGAATCAAGAAAGAATCCAGAAAAAAGCTAAGAATACCTCAAATACCTTATTTTAGCCTTTCTCGATTTTGGTGCACAGTCTATGTCTTTTTCCCGGAAGCATTTATGTTAAAATTGATAAAATATGAAATTTTGCCTAAAAAATCTATTTGAGTTGACTTCGGTCAACGTTTTGGGAAAACAAATCCGGACCTATATTTTGGCAGTCCCGATAGATCTGTATTGTGATTTGGGACCTGGGTGTATGCCCGGAATCGAATTCGGAGGTCCCTA